TGTTGGGTTGTCAAGGAAAGAGTGTGTGGGACACATTTATCACAAGCATAACTCGGCTGATTCCAAGTTATAGTTATGTTAGCATTAGACATACTATATTTAAATAAGATATATGCCAAGTTTCTTATCAAACACCTCACTTTCTTTTTTATAAGAAACAGGCGATACAAAAGTCAACTGTTGTAGTTGAAGAACCTAAAGCCTTATAAACCTCACACTAGAATCATACTTCTAATGTAAAACTCGAGTCTCGTACTTTGTAATTAGATCGTAACTTCCCACCATGTTCTGCAGCCTCAGCGGCCATGTAGGCAAGCTGGGCACCAGCCACTTGACTAGTTTCATGTAAACATTGCAATGTCAGTGTCACCACTTACGCCACTTGTATACAAATGAGAAACATGGTGGAAGGCTCTGTTACCAATTGATAGGTATTAGTAAATAAAGTAAACGAAATATACCCCGAGTCACCAGAATCATAGGAAGAATCAGGGAAACCAGTAAAAGGGGAGACGCCTAAAAGAATCGAACCAAGAATTTTCTAAAGAAACATTTGAAAAGTGAAAGCATCCTCTTTTGCAATGTAAAAAAATACTCCGATTTAATTTCTGTACTCAATTGTTAGCTACATTTAGATTTCCTTCATAAACTATAAATTATAATTAGAACTATCAGGTATAACTTGATGAGGTTAAAGGAAAAAAAAAATACAATAAAAGGAACCAAATCAACCACAAACAAGTTAATTATTATAATGTAAAAGGTTAATTGATTTAAGGAAAAAAGTAGTAAAGATTCGTGACTACAGATTTGAGAACAATTTCTCTATAAGCTCATGCATATGCATAATGACTAACTACATCAAATCCAAGCATCAGAGTCCTGTTAGCAAGAATAATTCTTCTTACCTCCACAATGCAAAGGATAATCAATTATAAGTTTACAAATAAATTAATTCACACGATCTAACAAAGGAAAGCTTGAAACTTAAAAGCATCTATGATATGAGGGCAGTGATTCAGTACATCCTACAGTTGCCTGTTACTTCTTCTATCTGCTTTAGAAAAATTGTGAGAATTGCAAGTTGGATGTGAATTTTTAAGAAGTTCAATTGGTTTGGATTGAAGTTTGTTAAATTTAAATAGAAGAATGAGCTTCAACGCAGGAAATCAAACAGAAAAAGGAGACACCCATGCCTGAAAGTGGAGAAAAAAAAAATATTTGGACCATTTATCAATTTTTGCGTGACATCCTTGCGCAGGAACTAATAATGCTAATCTTTATATCATTCAATTTTTATAGGATGCCCCCGAAGTTACAACTCTTGCACCTTCCTTGTTTTTATATAAATACAGTGAATTGTGTATATTTATTCGATGTGAGACTTTTTCACAATCCTTCACGAGACAAAAATATGCATCTCGTTCATTTAATAACACAAAAGATGGTACGATAAGAATCTTGAGAAAACTACACCAACAAAGTTGATTGTTGTAGTTGAACTGTTGAAGAGCTCAAGACCTTATAAATTCTGCTCTAGAACCATACTTTTAATATGAAACTCAAGTTTCATATATCTTGGATCGTAATTTCCCACCAGGTTTTGTAACCTCAGCGGCTATGCAGGCTGCTGTACACTCGCCCCTTGACTAGTCAGTCCCAGATAAAATATGTTTAATAATTATCATAAAATATATTTCCTCAGTCGAAGGAATATTTTCATTAAAAATATCTTTGGATGCATGCAAATAAAAGAATCACATTGAAAGCAAAGAAAAAAGCACCACACGGTTACTTAAACCAACGTCTAAAGTATGATTCAATATAAAATGACAAATTCTGATACCTTAAGGGGAAGCCAGAAAACTTGTAACTACAACGAGTTGAAAGGCCGTTTCCGGTTTGCACATGAGACAATTTATTGAATAAAAAAAGTGGACTCCATTTTATTTAAATCCTTAATTTCGGATTTGAACTTTAAAGCCAGTCCATAAAAATAGATTTAAAATAGTATGGAAATGTGAGGTTATGGAACAGGTTGGAGCCATGGGATTTTTTGCCAAGCCATATGCCATATTCTACAACATTCATTACAAATAAAACCAATTTCCATCCGAACATAGAAGCAAAGCTACCAAATGTGTCAAAAGCAAAAGTTTCTCACAACACAAATTTTGGTTTCCATTGTGGCTTAGCTTTGATTTAACAACTGGACTTGTGATATGTCCTCAATCAGCATAGACATGTTGCAGTAAGATGATCCACCTTTCTCCATTGTTTTCTTTGCCATGTCACCATACTTTCTAGCTCTCCCCCTTCTCTCCTCCTTTTCTTCACCTTCCCCCATTACCTTCTCTATAGCCTCTTTAACATTGTCCCTCTTCGCTCTAACACACTCACCAAAGTTATCTTCCTGTCCAAGATGAACAGCACTTTCAGCTCCCACACTCACACCAATCTCAGCCACTTGCGCAGCTAATTTCTCATTGAAAAACTGATCATGAAAAATAGGAAACGTGACCAAAGGCACACCAACACAAATGGCTTCCAACGAGGAATTCCATCCACAATGTGTGAAGAATGCTCCTATAGCTCCATGTGACAATATCAACATCTGTGGCACCCAACCCCTAACCAAAACCCCTCTCTCTTTCACCCTCTCTTCAAATCTCTCTTCCAAAAGCCACCTTTCCATTTCATCACTCCTATATGCTCCTCTCAGCACCCAAATGAATGGTCTCTTTGTTGCTTCCAACCCCAAACCAATCTCCATCAATTGCTTAGGTGCCACACGGTTAAGGCTACCAAGGCAAACATAAATCACCGACCTTTCAGGCCATGAATCAAGCCACTTCACACAATCAACTTCACCATCTTTTGTGTTTCTTTTGCTACCTCTCTGAGCCTTGTCCAAGGCATCCTCGTTTGACAGTGACACAGGTCCAATACACCACACCTTACGGCCCGTGACCCTTTGATACTCCTTAACATATTCTGCTTCCAACTCTTCAAAACTATTCACCACTATCCCATATGCTTCTGCTTCAGCCACCTGGGCTCTCTCACGTAAAGCATTAAACTTTTGGTTTGGGCCAGGCTTAAATAGCTTTGGAAGCTGAGATTTCCTCATTTCAATTCTGTGGGGTAATCCGGGGAAAACAAATTTATCTGAATCAGATACACTCTCATAGACCTTAAAAGCATGCAAGTTGTGATTGCACAAGAGGTTGATGCAATTAGTCCCATCAAATACAATTCTAGGGACCTTGAACTTGATAGCTATATCAGCAACACAAGAAATGTACTTGTCAGATACAATGCAACATGGAAAGGGTTGCATCTTTTCAATAAGCTCTTCTAGCTGTTTTTGCAACATGCTTAAGGCTATCATGAAATTCACCACAAGATCCATTGAAGGGAGAGATTCCAAGCTTTCACAACCCTCTGGTATTCCAGCTTCTGCATTGGGGAATGAGACTAGTTGAATTTGGATTGGTGAACCAGATTGGATCTCTCTGTGGATGGTGGCACTGAATTTGAGGGCGTTGAGGGGTGTGGTGACAATTGTCACCTTCACATTGCGTCGTGCCATTAACTTGGCCATGTCAACGAGAGGTAACATATGACCTGGTGCCATGAAGGGAATGAACACAAAGTGAAGGTTGCAAGTTGGTGTTGTCTCCATTGCAAGCATTTTTTTTGTCTTGTGTTGTGTTGTGTCAGCCTCACAGGAACACTGGAATTTAAAGTCTGTCTTTTCTACATCTTATGAGCTTTCTATCTATTTGTTTACTGTTTTCATGAAAAAAAACCTTTTCTTATCGTTATACATAGAAGCATGCGAAAGGAACTTAAAAAACAAAAAATCCATAATGAAATGACAAATGTAGAAGAAGAATATTTAGCATAAAATATTTTAGGAAGTTTTGTTTTCCCTGGGCACCAAACGAAAGGTCCCAATAGAGTAAAACTTGACGATTTTCATCTTTATCATTAAAGACTTAACATTGTATTTGATTTTATATTTAATTATTTTATCTTTATTATTAATTTTTTATACATGCATCAATATTTTTTTTAAAAATATACATGAATCTTTAAGTGAGACAAAATTGATTTGAAAACTTGACAAACTTAACTCGATTAAAGTTTTATTAATATGAGTTGAGTTGTTTGATAAAATATAAAAATCAAACTCGATTTAATCCAATCCAAATTTAATTTGATTGAATTGAGTTAGGTGAGAATAAGGAAATTTATTAAAATATTAATATATTCAAAAAAATTTAAAATCAAAAAATAAAATATAAAGTATAAAATATAAAATATAAAATATAAGATCAATAATTTTATATAAGTTATATAACCAATACATGTCTTTAAACAATACTAATATATATTATATAAACAATATGTGTCCTAACAAAAACATGTTAATATTAATATTCTATTATTAATATCAATTTTATATCCGGTTAGGTCGAATTAAAAATTAATTAACTTGTTTCTCAACTCAGTTAAATTTGGTCAATTATAATTTGTCTACCCGACTCGTGTCAATGACCTAATTCAACTAGTTGAAATGTAATTAAGTTAAATTGAATTAGTCAGATTCACGAATTAATATTCTTCTACTTACACTTGTTGAAATCTTTCATAAAGATTATAATGTTTTTAATATAATAATAGCTTTAGAATTAGTTAATGTTTAAGTTTTAGATTTTTTTTCAAAGTGAAATTTTTTTTTATCTCCGTTAATTTTAAAAAATATTTAAAGAGGCATGTATAAAAAAATATATAATTTAAAATGATTAAATATGAAATCAAATACAATGTTAAATATTATTTAATGTTAAAAATGAAAATTTTAAGTTTTACTATATTGGAAAGATTTATGCCTAAGGAAAACCAAATTTTCTCAAATATGTTTTTCTAAATATTCTTTATAAATGTGGCATTTTCTATATATATAAGAATATGGCATTTCATTGTACATTATTTGGCTTTTACGTTCCTTTCGCACGTTTCCATATGAAGTCAAATTAACCCAACACGTCATAAAGAGAATAAGACTGCGGTTAGCGTGCGACATCATGGTAATGTTTGTTTGTTTTTAAAGAAAGATAAATAATCCCAAAATGATGAAGAAAAAACAATTACATCCTTAAAAACTGGACCTCTATGGCATCAATCAAGAGCAGAGGTTTCAAGTTATTAGGGGTGACTCTAATTCTACATATGCATAACTAAAATTTGGGTCTAATCTAACAAAAAAAAGTTAACACATTGAATGCCCTCATGCAATGTGGGTTGTAATTGCACTTGTCAGTTCCTAGCTAACAACTCCGGAGACACGCATTCTACCCATCACATAATGCAATTAAATAAGGGCGAAATTCAATTAGAAACTTATAGGTAAAATAGGTTTACACTAAATTGTTACTAAACATCCAATCAAATTAAAATAAAATTATAAAATCTGTTTGTAATTGTATCCAAACAAGAAAGAAACGGTAAATCAAAATGAATTATAAATTTATATCCTAACCTCGTCACCTCAATGTCACATTATTAGAGTAATCCGTCACTTCAGCTCTCAGCACCTTGAGTGCCGACCTCATCACTTACTTAATTACTTAAAATACACCACAATAAAAATGGGTGAGGAACATAGGCATTCATATGTACAATACAAGAAAGAATTCCACCCAAACATATAAACAACTCACATACATTGCATAGTAATAACCAATCACGATAATATTATCATTACATAAGTCCATCAACTAATATCACCACAACCACATCACAAAATAGCTCATGCATCATGCTCATGTCCTCGTCAATGCATATGCAATGCAACCTCCTAAGAAACATCAACTTAGAATGTCGCAAAATGGACGAACTTTGTTAATCTCTTTAGGCACTGCCACACATGGCTACACTATTTACATCACTTATGATCAGTGTCACACTATTAATCACCATTTATGACCAGTGTATAAAGATGCATCCCTTGTTAATCATCACTTATGGCTAGGGTAAATGTGTACGTAACATGCACCCATGCTCATGTCTTGTCACCTCTTCCATTCATCATTTCTATCCATGCCAATGCACAATTAACAATAAACCACATCCAACCACATCTGTACATCAATTCATCCAACACACACCATACATAATTAATCATACAATAGTCATATATGGACATCATACAACTCACCACCATCATCAACATACACCAATACATATGGCATATTCATAGACTACGTTGGGCTTCACCAAGTTACGCCCAACTTTAAGTCACAATAGAAACACCAACATTTTCACGTTCGACGTAATTATAATTACACCCAACGCTAAATGCAAACAGAGAGCACCATGTCTCTCTCACGTCTGGCATCAAGGAGTCATGCCCGAGCTAAGGCAGAATAAAAACCCCCCAAAGTGGTCAAGCTTGGCGTTATACACAAATACCTTCCAATGAATTCAATTATTTATCAGATAATCAATTTTACCAAATAATACAATAAACACATTCACAATTTAATATAGAACCTAATTAGATCGTCAATTTCAGCTTCAAAACAGGAATAGAAAAATTTTAGGAATTTAGGGATTTCTCCCACTACCCATTTTCTCTTGTAATCCCACACGTGAATCACTCATTTCTCTCCCCTATACCTTATTGTGTCTATAAAAGAATTCAATGCAACTTTAGACAATTCCAAGCATTTCTCCTCAAAGCTCCTTCTTTCTCTTCCTTATTACTCTCTCAGTCCTTTAGAATGCAAAATGAGGCTAGATGAGTTAACTCTGCTTAACTCTCACTAGTGGAAAATTAGGATACTACGTCACCCATTTTACGTCGGATATAAAAACACCCGACGTAATAAAAATGCGGTGACATGTAGCGTAATTTTGTTGAATTATTTACGTCGGCCCTAATTGGGTCCGACGTAAATTTTAACATCTACGTCGGCTAAGCCTTGTGTCC